CATCATCAAACAAAATGGCACTTGATATGAGTATAAACTATGAGTTATAGGAAATAGTAGGATTATGGGTTTTCTAGTTCTAATGATGAGGACAAGGAGAGGGAGATGATAGCAACCAATAGACATTACTTCCACACAGCGGAGTTGGGGTTATGCGTTAGAGGACGAATTAACATATGAGTTTTGTAGGGAAAGTTGCTATTTAAGTGTTAACCCATACCAACTTATCATCACATTTAATTATGAATGGAATTAAAGGTAAGTCATGACTAACATTCATAAGGAAAAAGTTGTTGTAATAGTTATATATCTCATTCAAGCAATCCTTATATTCATGATGGTGGACTCATTATCCTAACATAGAGGATGAAACATTTATTGCAATCGTGTCACATGTGACCCTCAATGAAATGCAAACGCACAAAGTTTGGCCATGATGTAAGAATGACATGATATTGGAAAAAACTTATAACCTATCAACCGACATCATGAAAGTGGTAAGTTTTCATAAAAAATCATGTAGGGATTTGCTTGGTTGAAGTTTTGTTGGTATCATGTATTTTTTGCGTCATAGAATTTTCCAATAAAAAACAATAGATGTGATGCCTTTGATTTATTGTTAATGCTTGTGCGTTTGCATTTCATTGAAGGGGTTTTCATATTGTCTTGTGAATGTGGCTACAAGAAATGCAAGCTCGACATGGAGAGTGTGGTTCCATCTAAGTGGTTTTCTAAATGTTCAAAATCCACTAGTGGGGGCGACTCACCATAACAATTTAATCATCATCATCTAAGCCTCATCCCATACTTTATATGGGGTTGATTATATGAATTTTGTTTTGCATTTTATTTTTATTTAATGCCATATCATTTGTTAAATTACTAGTGCCGACATTTCTTCATTTCACCATTCATGTTAAAGATGTAAAAGGTTCAAAATATTACAACACATTAGTGCATATCAATTAATATGTAATGATCTCCAAGGTTGTGGGTATGTTAAAATAGATGAGTTAAATGGTTTTAACGTTTTTAACTATTAATGGGTGACGAGATATGATCCTTGTCAAATTATAAAAAGAAAAAGTTACTCTCAAAAGAAACTCTTCCATACATATAATTTGCATAGTGAAAGTATTGATACTTGAACCTTTAAATGTTTTGCACTCTTAAGGAAAGCCTTAGTATGAACATATGCAAAGAGATAATTAATGGTACGTAACTATTAGAGTTTGACAACAATTTCAATGCCAATTGACAATTTAGTGCTACTTTCAATATCGCAATGGGCTAGGAGATAAGGGTTGTTTGTGTTATAATAATAGAATTCAGTTATTAGTTAGTCTTATTGAACAACCAAGTTGGTTAATTAGACAACTAGATCGTAGGCGTTATTTTATTGATTCCACAACCTTATAAGATTTTATTGGTTTGTATAATTGGGAATATATTTTTCCAATTACTTATTTGTCCACTGTTATCCCTCTACCACATAAAGATGATGATTTGTGTCTTGCATTGATCACACCTTAGCTTGATCCAGACACTATTGTTATTGGGCCTCTGTATAGGCCAACTTTTTTTGGCCTACCATCTCATGCTACACCTACTAGGCCCCATATAACTTATCCCATCACCCAATCTTTTTCTAGTCTAGTACATATACCATCCAATCCATTGGCCTTCGCCTAGTTAGCCATCCCTATAAATATAGCTTTGGTGTGCCCCATCGCTCATGCAATTTGCCTTCCCACCTCCATGACTAGGTTCATAAGTTACTATCTTCAACTACCTTGTAATATATTAGTATCCATTCCTACTGAACCTATGACATTTCCCCAAAACAATTTTGGATCCACATAGATAGAGAAAGCAATTAATGACAATGAAATTACAACCTTAGAGTATAATAATACATGGACACTTGTTTAGTTTATTGTGGAAAAGCAAACCATTGGTTCATGTAAGGTCTGTAGCAAATGGCTCCATTGAGCACTATGGTATGCCTAAATAGAATGCTAGACTTCCATTACACATATGCCCCATTAGGCTGGTGGTCAAGTTAGTCACTTGATGTTTACTTTTCATTGTTCCATTGGAGGCGGGAACTTCACTAGCCATATGTAAAGAATGCATTTTTATATGAAAACATTTGTGAAGTGAACAAACCGGTCAGGGGTCTGGTTCTTGGGTCGAATGGTCTGATCGTTCGAACTGAACGAGTGGCCCGTTTTGACAATAAATAAATAAATAATGGACAAACAGTTGGACGATTCAAATGGTTCGACCGCCCAGGTCAGTGGTTTGCTAGCCAAATCAACGGTTCTTGGCGAAATAACGGTTATGGGGTAAAACGAAACTGGTCACCTAATTGGTTCCCATTTTTTCTGGTATGATTTGGTTGCAAAAACCATGGTTGGGCCTTAACAGGTTCCTTTATGGGCATTGTCAAATGGTTTGAAAATTTACAGTTTTCTCCCAAGCAATATGGGTTCGTTTCGTCCACAGTTGATCAATACTCATTTTATTTTTTCATTTCTACCAGTGTCACGGTTCCCATATGATTGTGGTCTATGTTGCTTTAGGGACAATCTTGCTCACATTAAATCCTTTAAGCAAAGGGGTTTTATTGTTCACTCCACCCAATAAACTTTAATACATTTTATACAATTGGAACATTGATAAGTGGGACAATGAATAAAATTTAATGGGGGATGGTAAAGTATATGGGTATGTCTGGTCCGTAGGAATAGAGACCTAGAATCGGAATCATAATGGACCACCATTTTGATTCCGTCCGTTTGGTTGAGTGTAATTGGAATCGGATTCCCCCTTTGGGTGGAATGGCATTCCCCCAGCCCCCCCCATTGGAATTGGATTCCCATTCCATGCGATTAAAACACGAAAAATGAAAATGACAAAAAAAAAACCTTCAAACCCCCGATTCCAAGTCCAACCCTCTTTCTCATTTCTCGTCACTGCCTCCTTCAAACCTTTCAACAGTTTGGCGGCCGAACTCTAAAGATCCAGCTTGAACTACTTCGACCAAGTAATTAATCATGGATCTCTCTCTCTCTCTCTCCCTCTCTCAACTTCTCTTCTTCTGGAAATTGAAAAAGTAAAAAGCCTATTATAGGTGGGCGTTGCTTTCGTTTATGTGTCATGAGTCAAGCTTGGAATTGAGCCGTCATGGCGACGACGATAGGAGGGTACGAAGGAGGATCGGGTGAAAAATTTCGGAAGAAACCGTTTCGGAGAGTCGCATTGACGCCTTATGATAGGCCAATGATCGTTGCCCGGAAACCCATAGATGCGGGGAGAAGAGGGTGGTTGTCAAAGCTTGTCGATCCAGCTTTGAGGATTATCATGATAAGTGTGCAGTTATTCTTCTCGTCTATGTTCCACAAGGGTCTTCTTGCTCCACCGCTCGTTTCTGGTTCGATTCGTCCCACATTTTTTTGACCACTTGTTTGTTTATGATGTTTTTGCACGATTAAGTGGTTTTGTACTTATCGTTTGGGAGTGTTTAGAGGTGTAAATTGGGTCGTACCTCCTGTGCCCTGGCCCGATACGACACAACACGATGGCACGTGGGTCGTGCCAGGCCCGACACGATGGTATGTGCCGTGTTGGGCCAGGGATTTTAGGTCCATGAGTTGTGTCGTGCCGCTCGTGGCTTGCGTGCCGGCATGGCCCAGCTCGCGGCTCAGCCTTGGCCCATGGACCAGCTCGATCCGCGGCATAGCATGGCATGGCACAAGCCCGCACGGGCTTGGGCCATTGGCCGTGCCAGGCCGATCTCCCAAGTTATCCCAGGGGAGGGCGGCACGACCTGAGATGTCTTGCAGGCCACCACAGCACGACTTGCACTTTGCGTGGGCTGCCCCAGTCAGTGCCATGCTAGCCCGACCTGACCCATTTTACACATATAGGAGTGTTTGGATTGGATTAATCAGATCCAATGTTTGGGTTTGGTTTGTACTAGGTTTGGATTTGGATTATAAATAGACACAAGTTGGATTGGATTAGATCAAACCTGGTTTAATTGACAGCCCTATCTATCTCCTTACATGTTAATTGGATTGTATTGGAATTGGAATTTTTATGGATTTTTTATTTTTTTATATGTTTTTTATTAAGGACAAAATTGGAAAGTATGATTGATTATGATTCCAGCTTGTTCATGAACCAAGCAGTATCAATCATAATCTGATTCCGATTCCTGTCTGAACCAAACAGGTAGGGGGAATAGACCATTCCAATTCTAATTCCAAGAGATTCCCATTATGATTCTGATTCGGATTCTAATCACGAACCAAATGGACCCTAAGTGGGGGTGTGGGTAAATAAAATTTAAAAATAATAAAAAAAAAGTTTCTAACGTGGACTTAAAGAATATATCCTTTAATTCTTTGTATTCAAACACCTTGTCTCATTTGATATATTTTTCCCGCATATAAGAGGTTATTTTTGTCAAACTCTTTGGACGTTTGGGTTATTATCTAACCATTATAATTTATGAGGTTTTAATTGAACTATTTTCTACAGAGTTCCGATCAGTTGATCACAATTTACAACACATTGTTGTTAGCCACATTCACCTAACCACACATCTGGAACATCGGTTGCACTTTACACCACCGATATTCCAATCGCATGCTCTGAAGCAATTCATAAACAAACCAATTGCCAATTGAAGAACACATAGTCATGGTCATGGCCATGGAGGTTGCTTTGTGCATACTTCGGCATTAGTCATCACCCTCTTTCATGGCCTGTTTATGCCCTCAACTGGTGCGACTTCCGGATTGGAGCCAAGACAAAGCAGCCAACTCCGTGTTTCACGAACCAACCAAAACGGCACCTCGCAGAATTTCCGCTTGGCAATGGGGCCCAATGGCCGCCGATGTTCTGACTTCGGAGTCCACTAAAACGAATTATGAGGATATTTTCGTCCAATTGAAGCAAATATATTTATATCTCAGTATTTTACGTTTCTCCGATTATGCCGGCCGTCACGTTTAAACCGCTCGTTTATTTATGACGTCAGCCCCAACTTATACGGACAGCGTTCCTTTCTTTTCTTCAGAAGATTGAAGAAAAAAAACAGGAAAAACAAGGCGAAGAAGAACTTCGATCCCAGTTGAAATTGGGGGAGAGAAGAAAAGAAAGGAACGAGAATACGAAATAAAAGAGTCAGATGTAGAGAGATTTTTCTTTTCTTTTCTTATTTCTTACGTTGGTTGATCGGTTGATCGGTTGATGTTGTGTCCGATCGCACGGTAGTTTTGTCTGCAACGCTCGGCCTGTCTGTTTTGTTGTCAAAACTAAGTCAACAACGTCTCTTTCTGCAGACAACGGCGATTTTTTAGGGTTTCTGTTCTCACCCATTGTCAGGTTTTTCTGTTTCCTCTGTCTTGCTTCCTTATCTGCCGTGTCTGTTTCTTATCTGAAGGGAAGTTTAGCCCGCCTTTGGATTTTTGAAGTTTTTTGTTTTAGTCATACTTATAATGTTCATAGAGCAGATCGAGGTTCATTTTCTTTTCTTTTTTTTTTTCTCTCTTTTATGTATTTTGTATGTATTTTTTTCGTTATAGGATTTGGTTGCGAGTTATTGTTGTTGTTAGTGGTTACTTCTCTTTTTGGATATATTTGTTCTGAATATTATGAGTTTTGAGTTTTGATTTCTTTGTTTTTGATGTTTTGATTTTTTAGGGTTTTTGATTTAAACACGGAAGAATAAATGGTGGCGTCATAGTTGGACACACGTTCATGGTAGGAAAGCTTGGTTGTTTTGGATTTGAAGTAGAATTTTGGTGCGCAAACGATTGTTTCGGCTCTTAGGGTTTATAAGTTGCTGTCTTGGATTGGATTTCCAAGTAGGGTTTGTGACTTACTGTAGAAAGGAAAGGAGCAATTTTTCCAATTATGCGATCTTCGTGGGCTGATTCTGTTACAAACTCTGCAGCTGATACCGCGGCTGCTGGTTCTTCTGCAAACAACGGGGCTGGTAGCACTTCACGTCCTGCGCGAACTTCTTATGTTCCTCCGCATCTTCGTAATCGGCCTCCTTCTTCAGAGCCTCCCGCACCGGCACATAGTGGTACTTCTGTAAGTAATGATCGACCTGGTTATGGTGTACCTCCTAGTGGGAACCGTTGGGGTGGTCCTAGGTCTGATTTGGGGCGGTCTGGGTTTGGTGGCGGTGGACGCCTTGGTGGTGGCGGTGGTGGTAGTGGTTGGAATAACAGAGCTGGTGGATGGGATCGTGGAAAAGAACGCGAGGCGAACCCTTTTGGGGACGATGTCGATGCAGAACCTGCTTTCAATGAGCAGGAAAATACTGGCATTAACTTTGATGCCTATGAAGATATCCCGGTGGAGACAAGTGGGGAAAATGTCCCGCCACCTGTGAATACTTTTGCAGAGATCGACTTGGGGGAAGCACTTAATCAAAACATAAAAAGATGCAAATATGTCAAGCCTACACCTGTGCAGCGTCATGCCATCCCGATTTCTCTTGCAGGGAGGGATCTGATGGCATGCGCTCAGACTGGGTCTGGCAAGACGGCTGCTTTCTGCTTCCCGATTATTAGTGGAATTATGAATGGACAGTTTGCACAGAGACCTCATGGTGCAAGAACGGTGTATCCACTTGCTCTTATTCTGTCTCCTACGAGGGAGCTATCATGCCAGGTGGGTTTCTGATATTGATCCGGTGAGTGGCTTGCGTTCTGGTAGGGGTTCTCGGTAGATAAAATTTTGATGTCGTGTATATCTTTTGCTTTGCAGATACATGAGGAAGCCAGAAAGTTTTCTTATCAAACTGGTGTCAGGGTGGTTGTTGCTTATGGAGGGGCGCCCATCAACCAGCAGGTTTTTATTATGTCTTCTTACATGGATCTGAATGCATTCTAAACTGATGCTTACCTTGACTGATTAGTTTACTATCTTCATCTTGTTGATTTATATCCGACTGTTTACGTGGTTAGATTTGAAGTCGCTTGAGGATTGAACTATAAACAACATGATGTTTACATTATTAATTTTTTAAGTTTTGTTTTGATGTTTTTTGTCCTTTTTATGTGAATATTCTAAAGTTTCTTGGACAATTAGTTTTGCTTTCAAGTATTTCACAATTGTTTGGTATTATAAGTGCGTAGGCTAACCCTGATCCTACGATTGCATCAATTTCCTTTTCCTCGGTTCTGGAACATTGTTTTTTCCCCATTCATCACATTGGCTTCTGTATGCTTTCTTGGATTGGCAACTGGATTCCATTTTTTTGTCCTTGGAGCCACAGAAGAGTTAAGAAGTACTCCCAATTTACTTGTCCTTTTGTTGATGTTTTGAAACACATTCCTGCAACATCCATGTCATCATCAAATAAAAATATTTCTCATAGGCTCTTGAATTTTTTTCTTAATCTTTCAACTACATCCCACTTCTTTGGCTGTAGGGATAATTGGAACTTGGAAGATTTAAGGTACGGTACCAACCTAGTTGTCCTTGGGCGATTATAGTCTCATTGAGGAACCTTTTGAGGCAATGGAGATGTATTTCCTACTTCCTAGTGCTTTATACATAAAACATCATATATAAATTGATGTGTTTTTGTGTGTATTTGAGCAGAAAATTATTTGCACAAGATTCTAGTCACCCTTTTTTCTTTGAAAAATCCTGTAGTAAGATAAATCGCTTCATTGAACAAGCTAAGGATTCTAGTGGAAAACATATGAAGCTTAGCTTAATTTGTGTGCTGAAAAGCAGATGAAGCTTTTGTCTACAGTGGGATTAAATCATAAATAGGTTATAATACAAGTTAGTAGTTAAGTATCCTATTGAGCTGGAAATATGGGCAATGGACTATTAAGCAGACAAATGTCTTGATATTGAAGTTCCGTAATAAATGAAGATTTTTAACAACACTGTAGTGCTTATTTTTAACAAATATACTGTGTTAAACTTGGATTATGTGAATAATAAACTAAGTTTTAGTCATTTGAGTTTTAGGGATGAATCCAAATAGATACACCATTTATCTTTCTTGTTTTGTGTAGCCTTGAATTTTTAGGTGCCAGCTTGGGATTCTTCTGCCTCCACTTTTACAAGGGTCATGGGTGTTGTTTTTTTTACCTCTATTCATGATCTTGTTTTCCCAGTTACTAGTAGGGAAAAGATCTATTCCAAGTCTGAGTTTGGCATTCTTTCACATTTTTTTTTAAAACAGTCAACACTTATGGAGATGTATCCAGAGATTTATTCATTAGTTATTTTAGTAGATAAATTTCTTATTCAACATCTTTAGGACCTAGGCAATTGATTATTCCATTAGCTAGATCTGACTTCTGAGGCTAAACTGCTGAAGAGTTTGTGATTGATATTCTCTCTTGGGTTCCATAGTATAAGTAGACTGGGGTTTATGGATCCTAGTGGGAAGGATGAAGGGCTTGCTGGGATTGGGTGGGTGTGGACATGGTGCCTTTCACATTAGCTGGAGGTTGATTATTAGTGGCAGAAGGAGCACACTCTTATGTTGGAGTTGGAGATCAAGTGAGATACCCTATTTCTTGGCTAGAATGGATGAAGCACGTGCAACTAAAATAACTTATATTGTAGTGCAGGGGATTTGATTGGGTCAACCTGTGGTCCTTACATTTTGCATTGGGAAATTCTTGCTGTGTGCTGTACATAGTTTTCAAGTTATAGGATGCCTTGTTGCCTAGGTGCAGGGATGATTTTTTTTTTTTCTGAATAAAAACCACGAATTCCATAGGTTCCGTAGTAAGCAGCAACCATCTTTGATGTTTCAGTAGTAGTTGTCTATAGTCTTCATAAAAATGTATACACTTTTTTATTAAAGCATAGAAAATCAACATATTCATGAAAAAATTGAAGAAAGAAAATAAATTTCAGAAAATAGGGGGTCTGGGCTCCTATTTTTGTCCTAGGAAAATAATCAATAATTGGACAAAATTTTGAATTCTTCATTGCTTATCAGTTCAAGTATTCAAGTCTTTGAGGGTTCAAGGCTGCATACATGTTGATTGAACCCTAACAAATAAGAAAATAGTAAAAAGAAACTAGTATTTTAACTCACAAACTGAATAGTTTAGTTTAGTAGTATCTGTTTTATTATTGCAATCTCAAAAAATTGAGGATATAAAAGTATGTAATAACATCATGTACAACAAACCTTGGTGATTAAATGAGGTGACCCTCCATGGGTGCCTTGTTGCCTAGATGTCACTTTGACAACTATGTATATGTTTGGCATCGATGCCGCAGTTGCATCACCCTGCTGATGTGTGGCTTGGGAGCACCGTTTTCTGAAAAACGTGCCTTTATTTTTGTTTGGAATGCTGCTTCCAGGTAGGATGTTTCCTGGAGCAACAACAACTTTTTCTGTTTGGTACCATTGCTCCAGGAAACGTTTTCAGCATTGGTACCCATTATCCAGTGTCACATCAGTGCCACATCACTGCTCTGTTGGCAACAATGAGCTGCAGCTCCAGGAAACGCCAAATTTGGCGTTGCTCCAAGCCATGGCTTCCCGATTTCCGAGGCGTGGCTTGGAGCACCTTTTTTTATGGAAAAACGGTTGCAAACAAATGCCCATTTCCTGGAGCACCGTTTTTTTCTGATGTGGCGCTGTTGCTCCAGGAAACGACAACGATGCCAAACAGCCCCTATGGTATTGTTATCCTCATCTTAATATTCAATGAATTTCTTTTTTTTTTTGGTTGCTGACAGAAAGGGTTACATTGAGGCAATAAGTAGTTCTGATTAGTAACACAATCAAGAAGAATATTGTTGAGAGACGAAAAGAGAATATTACAACGAATATACAATAGAAAAAAGGAAATTGAGGCTGACAAAAAAGCCCCCATACACAATTAGAGGTGTAAATTGGGTCGTGCTGGGTTGGCACGACATGGCTCGTCTGTGGCTTGCTCAAAGAGTTGGTAGTGCCGTGCCGGCACGCGGGCCAAGCCGAGCAAGCTTGTTTTTTTTTTTTTGTTTTGACATTTTATTTTCTTGCCAAGTAAAACTGAAATACTTTACTTCCCTATGGAAACAAATTGAAAAAATAAAAATTCTAACACAGAAATGAAAATATACTTAACAAATACGGGCAATAAATTGGAAAAATAGGTTAAAACTTGAACAATACAATGGCCAAAAATTACTTAACAAAATGAATAAAATATAAAAAATATAAGACAATTACGAATTGAATATATAAAATTACATTGTTGAAAAAATAACAAATAATTAAAATAAAATTGAATAACAAAATTTACAATAATTTAAAAAAATGCTACAAAATTGTTGAGTATACAAAAAATAGTCTTCATTTTTCTTCAAGTTCCACCTCCATCTCCATCTTGATTTTGATTATCTGCTTCAGGTGAATCTTGGGGTGAGCAAGAAAAAAAAACTGAAAAAAGAACCGAAAATACAATTGGTTCGGTGTTTTAAAAAAATCAAAGTTATCGGCTTGGTTTCGGTTAACCAGTATAGAAAACAGGCAGTTAACCGAATCAACTGGTGTACATGTATTTCTATATATTTTATATATATTTATGTATATTATATATTGTTTATATATTATAAATTAATAAATATGCATTATATATATAACATGTATTATTTATTATTTAAAATATAATATTATATGTTTATAATTTTTTATTATATATTTATATATTTTTATAATATATATTGTAAAAATTAAAAAACCGAAAAACTAACGAACCAAATCGATGGTTAACTGAACCAGTTAATCGGTTAACCGATTGATAGGTTCGGTTTCAGTGACCTATTTTCCAAAAACTACTAGTATCGGCTCGGTTACAATAAAAGGCCCATGGCTTGGTTAACTAAACCGGGAGCGCCCTTAGTGAATCATCAGGTGTAGTGTCATGCCCTACTTTGTCTTGTAATCTATCTATCCTCAACATCCAGATCTTTGGAGCATATGCACATCTACGAACTTTCATCATTTATGTAGCTTCTCTTGTCATACAACACCTTAGTACCTGCACTAAAACAAGACTTTGAAGGAATTGTAGACACCGGAGAGGTTAGTAGATCACGTGTCGTTGTGACAAAGGATTGGATAATTTTTTTTTTCATGCCCACTCCACTGGGCTAAAATATCAAAATTATTTATTCCTTTAAAGTCAAAGGATTCAATTAAACTAGAAAAACTTTTTTTTAAATAAAAATTAAGTTCAATAAATGAACTTATTGATGAGGTGGTAGCAGATTTCCGGCTCCTACTTATTTGAGATTAATTTAAGTTATGCATTTTAAACAGTGTTTTAAAGCACAAGGCGCATGGGTCGATTTACGCCTGAGGCACAAGGTGAGGTGTGTGCCTTTTTAAGCAAGGCGCAAAAATAAAAAAATGCTAAAAAGTCAAAAAATGCCAAAAATTCAAAAAAAGCAAACAAATAAAAAATTATTAAACATAATATTAATAAAAATATAAACTTAACTTTTAAAATAAATGTTTTAAAAAGCCTATTATCTAAAATTAAAATACTTCAATATAACATGTAAAGCATGTTCAAATGAGGATTTAAAAATAAAATCACATATAAAACATTTTCAAGCATATAAAACCCACAATCTCTTTTTTTCTCAAATACATTACTTCAAGTAGCTAACTAGCAGGGACTCGTGCGATGCATGGGATTTATTAATTGAAAGCTAAATAATAGAAATGGTCATTTACTAAAATACCCCTTATAGTTTCATGGATTTACTAAAATCTATCCTATAGTTAGCATTTTACTAGAACACCACTTAAAATTTGCAATGGATTTAATTAATCTTTCATTAGATGACAGTGGAAAATGACATTGTTGACCCTAATGTTCATTTAAATAAATTTAATCAAAAGAAAATAAAAATAAAAATACCATTTTTGCCCTTAATAAGGCATAGGTAACCACTCTATGAGCCTCCTTTGTGCCACGCCCCTCGAGGCAAGCCCAAACAAGTCCATGTTAGGGTCTTAAATTCTTAGTTCTCGCTCAAAAAATAATGATTTTATAGTTTTAATTGCTTTTTAAGAAGATATTTTATTAGGTTGAATGAATGAACAACATTACCAAAAAGAGGGTTCTCGAAGTTTTAGTGAGCGAGCGAGTTGGGCTTGCCTCGAGGGGTGTGGCACTAGGGTCTGGGGGTGGAGCCCTCAACCTAGCTGCTAGAGTCAAAAAAATGAAAAAAAGCGTCAAATTTTCAAAAGGCGCACGCAAGGGCTGAGGCACAAAGCGCACACCTAGGTGTACCAGGTGTGCGCCTTTTGAAAGGGCTGCGCCTAGGACTTGGGCGAGGCGCCTACCCTTAAATGCGTCTCGCCTAGGCACACTTTTTGAATCATTGATTTTAAATAATAAAATGTTAATTTTTCTTTTTGATTTCCAACTTCAATATTCATATTTTCACAATATAATTCAAGTAAAATATCTAAACCATCTTTCCTAATCCTGGGATCTAATATTGCAGCTAAACAATAAAGAGGAGAAATGTTCTCCCCATATTTTTTAATTTTATTTTCCATTATTTCAAAAATTCTTGTAAATTGTGGATTTTTTCTATATTTTGCAAAACATTTACTAATCATGAATAATTGATTAACTAAAAGACAACTAGTTGGGTAATAAAAACCCGGAAATTTATTAGTTGTATCTTAAAAATTGTGTAAAAAACTCTTATACAAATTGCCATTTCCCAATCTTCCTCAGGTATAATATCATGTGGCATTTTTGGATTACAAAATCAGTAAGAATTTGTATACAACTTTCTAACATAAAATAGGTAGAATTCCATCTATGTTGCCATTTCCCAAACAACCCGTGTGTCATGTGTTGTGCTTTGCCGGTCCAAAATTGTGCAGGGTTGTGGGCGGCATGACGTGATTTACACCTCTATACACAATAGAAAAAGGAAAATAATTACCACATCAGCAACAACAATGTGCAGATTTTTGTTTTTGAAAAACAAAGTTAAACATATTGGCAAACACCTCAACAAGCCAGATAAACTAGAAGGTATTATTCCCAGTTCCTCTCACTCCTCCTCCCCTGTCCAATGCAGTGTTTTGAAAATACAAGGCACAATTTTTTCAAAAAATAAAAAATAAAAATATTAACAGTAATATTAATTAAAAATTACATACTTAAATTCTAAACTAATTGTTTTAAAAAGCCTTTTAGCTGAAATTAAAATGCATAAAATAACTCATAAAACATATGCAAAGTGAAAATGCAAAGATAAAATTGATCATAACATATAAAACATATTCAAGCACCCAACAATTTTAAGCACATAAAACTTTCAAGCTCTTCGTTACTTTTCTAATTGTAGAACTTTAATTTTGTGAGCTGCTTTTTACTGAGCCATTTGAGGCAAGTCCAAATAAATTCATGCCAGGGTTATTTAATATATTTAGTTTTAGTTCTGCATCTTTTAAAAAATGTCTTGTACAAGGAAGAATGAAATGAACAACATTAGCAAAATGGGGGTTCTTTTACAAGTACAGGGCAATTTGTTTTAAAAGATAAGAAACTAAAACTAAATTATAATACCATTTTTTTGAAGTAGGGATTATGAATTTAAGACAGCATGACCTTATTCAGGCTTGCCTCAATGGGCTCAGTTAGGGGTTCAACAGCTGAGCCACTGTCCCAGCCACCATGCTTAAAAAAGTACAAGAAGTACCAAATTTAACAAAGATGTGCACCTGTGCTTGGACATGGGCGAGGTGCAAACCTTGAAATGCACCTAGGCTGTGGTTGATTTTTAATCACAGGGTCAGTGAGTCAGTGACTAATAAAAATAGTTGATCTTGGGACCTCATGAAACAAGATATTCCCACTGGAGGACAGACATCTAGTCTTTTTGATAGAGTGTCTATCCCACCCTCCCCCCAAAACAAAAGGGAAAAAGAATCCTTTTGAGTTTGTTTACTGGTATTTCTTGGTTTCTTGTTTAGTACTATTGTATTGGTATTATTGTGTTACTATAGTTAACATGAGTGCTCCTTCAGCTTGTACTCCTAGCGAATGATAATATATGCATTTTTTTTTGAAGCTATGGTTTTCACTTAATTGTTGACCGATGAGCTATTAACTTTTGGCAGCTGCGGGACCTGGAGAGGGGTGTTGATATTCTTGTAGCAACACCAGGACGACTGGTAGATTTACTGGAGAGAGCTAGGGTTTCACTACAGATGATCAGGTACCTAGCTCTAGATGAGGCGGATCGAATGCTTGACATGGGTTTTGAGCCACAGATTAGAAAGATTGTGGAACAAATGGACATGCCTCCTCGGGGCGTAAGACAAACAATGCTCTTCAGTGCCACCTTCCCAAAAGAGATACAGGTTTAAACTGTTTATTGAGATTCTTTTTTAGTTCTGTCTATCCTTTTCTGTTGGTTCCTTTTGGATAATAGTTTTTGGGGAGTATGTTTATTGACATATAAGAAAGATCATTATGAACCGTTGCATTTGAATTTCAGACATATTTCATGACATTAAGTGCATGATAGAGTCCCTTGAATGGGTTGAAGTTCATTTAGGTGTAAGTGGTTATCTGTCAATCTGATGCAGACTGGGATTTTATGCTTAATTATGACCTAGGAATGCTATTATAATTATATTATGCTTAACTTTTATGTGTGTGTGCTTGTCATATCTGGATGATGTGTTATAAGGGAGTCATTTCAGATGGTTTGGTCATGTGTAATGAAGGCTGCTAAGGGTACCATTTAGAAGGACAAAAGGTGCAGGTTGATGACTCTAACAAAGATGAGAAACCCAGAAAACACATGGACTTGGTGTGACAAAGGATATAAAGGAACATGCATTGATGGATGAGAGTCCATTGTGAAGTTGTCTTACATTGCTGTTACCAAACCTAGATAAAGGAGGTGGGTGGCGTTAGCTTGGAAGTCAACAGTCAAACTTTTGCCAAACTCTCATGAATATGACTCATATAGTTGGGATAAGGCATGGATAATGATGATGATGATGACTGATGGATAATAGTCACTGCTGATCATTGTCCTATCAGGCTAGGATTGAAATCATTTATGAGTGGACCATTACTTTTCAAGATTGTGAATATGTGGTTGACACATCCAGACTTTGTGCTTTAAGTGAAGGAATGATGGAATGGAGAGCTAAGGGTTGTGAAGTGAAAGGGGGGGGGGTGTTAAATTTCACAAGAAATTGCAAAGACTTGGGTCTAAAATAAAGGAACATGGACCACTTTGGGAAATTAGAGAGACAAAAAATTAGATTGATGTCTTGGATTGAGGAATTGGATGAGGGGTCTCAGAGGAACATGGATGAGCAAGATAGAGAGTTGAGGTGGAAGTTGAAATTTGAAAAAAGGAGTTGGAAGTTCTATAAAGAGGAGATTTGTTGGAGGCAGAAATCAAGCCATAAGTGGATTAAAGTGATTGGAACACTAAATTTTTCCATGTTTTGGCTAATGGAAGGAGAAAAAATTTTGTGGCCAAGTTAAATCCATTTATAGAAGGTCATTGAATGATAGATGGATTAGGGGTGGAAGGGTGGATTAGCCAAGGTTGAGTGATGAAAAAGTAAGGTGACTGGGGAGGAACTTTGAAGAAGACGATATCAGATAGGCATTCTTCTCAGTGGACAGATCTAAGGCCCTAGGTTCGGGCAATATTACAATGGTTTTATATCAAGATTTTTGGAAGTACTGAAAGATGAGTTATGTGGGGTGTGTTTAAAGAGTTCACATATAAGCATAATCAGTCCTGGAGTCAATTGCACCTTTTATCCCTAGTCTGTAAGAAATCTGACGCATGTCTCCCAAAGGATTTTAGACCCATTTGCTTGTTGATGCTACTCAACGTGGTTATCCCTGTACTCCATTTCTTTATACAAAAAAGAGGTTGCCTGTCTTAAAGTTCCTTACCCCCTCCTATACTTCCTTTGGTGTTGAATTGGGATTTTGGGTTTCATTGAAGGTTAAGGGATGATGTGCTTGTTTCTATGTCAGGCTTTTGCATTCTCTTGGTAATGTTTGTTTGGATCCCCTTAAACCATTAGACGGGTTTGGTCTCCTCATCCCAAATGGTCATTTTCTTGTGCTTCTTTTTTAAAGTCCCTATGCTAGTCTCCTAATCCTCAGGTTTTCCTTGTTAAGGAAGTTTGGTTTATGCCTATCCCCCCTAAAATTAATGTGTTTTGCTGGAAGTGTTTTATGTGAAAGGAAACACTTTGAATAGCATACAAAAGTGAAGACCTTTCTTGTGTATCTCCTATAGTTGGTTTATTGTTCGAGAGGAAAGTTAAAATAACATATTTCTTGATGCCCTCTTATCTTGAGAAGTTCATTTGAGTGTATGGTTGTTGTAGTCTTGCTAAAGGGTTTGCATATGCACATTTACTCCACATCTGACATGTTTTCAACTTGTTATGCAGAGATTGGCCTCTGATTTCCTTTCAAATTATATATTTTTGGCTGTTGGAAGAGTTGGTTCAAGTACTGATTTAATTGTCCAAAGAGTAGAATTTGTTCTTGAATCGGACAAGAGAAGCCACTTGATGGACCTCCTTCATGCACAGAGGGCAAATGGAACACATGGAAAGGTAGCACAAGAGATGACACTTCATACTTCGCAGATTTATCCTCCAAATGGTTCTCCTTATTTGTCTTGAGGCCTTTTGGGTGGCCTTATTTTCTGTTTGTAAATACTTATGGTGTTGGTTTCTTGTTGATTGGTTAATTATTTTGATATTGTGTTTTTGCTGATAAAAGAACCCTCTGACTTTTAGTACATGTCCTATGGTAATCATTGTTCCTGCAATGGCTTTGCAGCAAGCTCTGACTTTGGTTTTTGTGGAGACAAAGAAAGGAGCTGATTCATTGGAACACTGGTTGTGCATGAATGGGTTTCCTGCAACTACAATCCATGGCGACAGAACACAGCAGGTAAGTTGGTGTGCTTTGATGTCTTACTTAGAATTTAAACCATTTTAACACCCTTAATGTTTTTTCTTCTTCTGCTGGTATGTGCTTTTATGGTTTGAGTTTTATGAGAAGGCAAGGGAATGTAGTTAGGTAGTTACCTATTCCTCTAGTTTTAGTTGTCTATACAAAATTGGTTGTTGAGTTGAGTAAACAACATCACCCTGATTCTGTTTTTTAATTTTATTAATTTTAATTTTTAATGTTCAACAAGCATATTTTTTATCAGCAAGAAATTTGAAAATCATATTTAAATGAAAATCTGGATATTACAATGACTGGGTTTATCCACCCATAAGGATTCATTCCAATCCCGGCAAAGTTACGAGATTTACAATGGTGCCCAAAACAGCTGTTGCCTATATATCCCTTGCTTTGCTAAAGTGTCAGCCGTCCCATTTGCTGTCCTTCTAACCCACTTGAAAGTTATGTTCAGCTCCTGTATGATGCTCTTTATTTCCCTAAACTCATACCTATAGATGCATGACACAAGCTGCTTGCTCTTGGCCAAAGAAGTGGTAAGCTTTGAAGCTCTACTTCCAAGTGCTGAAATTTTGATTGCTTAGCAATTCTTAACCCTTGTAGTAGTGCCATTAGTTCAGCCTTTAGTGTTTCTCCCAACCCTAAAGATTTCAGTGCAGTACTTCCAAGTGCCAAGACTTTTCCTGTGCAATATCTAAATATCTATATACTCCTCCAATGCTAGCCAGTCCTGTGCTTCCCATGGAACTCTCATCAAAATTTAGCGTTATTTTATTAGCCATTGGGGGTAACCACCCCATAAACACCATGCCACTTCAGTCCATGCCCTTAGGTTATCATTCACTGATAATTCATTGAATAGATCAACTGTCTTTATCCAATGAGCAGTTCTGATTTTTATGGCTTCAAATAATTCTTCTTTCGATCTACTATTCTCGTTTTATATCCTCCCATTCCTTCCTCACAAATAGTCCACGCTACTGCAGCCATAATTACTTTCCACAATTCTTCCTCTCTTTTTTGGTTGCCTTAGGAAACTTTTACTAAAAAGGGTTTTTACATCTTACTGAGAAGTCCACCTGCAACCAAAAAGAGAACAACGGAGGTCCCAAACATAAAGCACAAAGGGGCAAGAAAGCAATAAATGAGGAAGCACATGTAAGGCTATAAGCATTTGTCTGGCCTTCTTTTTTGAAGCATATCACTATTGTTTACCTTTCCAAAAAATAGACTTTCCAACACAGCATGAATTTTAGGTGGGTTAGGCAGTGATTTAAAAGGCGCACAGGCGAGGCACATTTTGGGGCGCATTTTGGAGTATGTGCCTTGTTTAGGCTTGCCTCGAGGGGTGTGGTACAAAGGCGACTCATAGAATCAAGAGATTCTAGGTTTTTCATGCTTGAAAATGAAAATTTAAAAATACATAATAGGTTTTTCATGCAATTGCAATGGTCTGGGGGGTTAGCACCCCAGATTTTTATTTTTAATTTTTGGCATTTTTATTGAATTTTCTCACTTTTTTTATTTTTTAGTTTTAGTTTTTTTTTGTAATTTTGTGCCTTTCTTTAAAAGGCACGCACCTTGCCTTGCGCCTTGCGCTTTTAAAACACTAGGGATAGGCTTGCTCCAAATCTCTGTCACAGGGAATCACCCACATTGTTGGGCTGCAAGAGAATATTAAGGGAGGATGCACAAGTTATAACCCCATTAGGTGTACCAGACCACACTCTAGTGTCCTCCACTGACTGATCCAGAAAGGTTTGCTGAAGTTTGTTCAAGTCTCAGTTTGGAAGGAGTACAAATACAAGTATGTACAGTGAAAATACATACAAAACGATACAAAATATAATGTTTTGCACTCTACATATTTGTATTTGTACTCTTTCCAAACTAAGCCTTGGTTGAATAAGTGCCTTGTACTCATTATCCCTTAGATTGCTTCTAAAACCAAAATATGCCAATGTATCCCTAAAGAAGAGAAGGTAACAAATCTTGATATAGGTTGCTGTTTGTAATTAGACAATGAGAAAAGGCTTGGAAAGCAAATTGAAGGGGGGGGGGTCATCCAGCCAGAGGTCTTCCCAGAACAACACTTTGGTCCCACATCATGCATCATATCCGATGATATTAATAAAAGTTGGGGTTTACCTTCTGTATTGATTTTCAGGGAGAGAGTGTTGGCGAGGATGAAGCTACTTTTGCATCCCATCCATTATTTAGTCCCGTGAATGCTTTCAATTACCTCATGCCAAAGCCTGTCGCTCTCCAAAGGAAACCTCCATAACCATTTCTCTAAGAGTTCTGTATTCCTACAAATTAGGTTCCCTATTCCCAGCTTCTGTTTGAGTACGGCCTTCAACTTTGATGGTATTATCTTACCAATGAAAAATGTGAGTTGTTTTTCTTCGGACAAATGTAACCACTGACTCAACCAGTTCTTTGTTCTTACTAATAATATGCATGTATATTTGTAATACATAAATTCTATAAAATTTCACCTTCCATGATATAATTATCTGTCAAGAAATAACATGTTCAAAAAATGGGTGTGGTAGAAACATGAATGCTTAGATGAATGAGTGGTAAACTAGAAAGCTAGGGTCATGAATGAAGTTATACAAAGGAACCTAAGAGTAGCTCCAATAGGTGGTAAAAATGAGAGAAATTAGATTGAGGTTGTTTAGTCATGTGCATACCATCTACAAGCAGAAGGGGCTGGAAATGATAGGGGCAGACCAAAAAGGAGTTTGGTGGATGAAGTAAGAAATGATTTTAAGTGCCCATAATTTAACGATGGACATGGCACTGAATATTACAAAATGGCAAAACAGTATTCATGTAGCTTTATGGTGTGGGAACATTAGTGAGTTTGATTTTAATGAGCTGTTTGAAGGCCTTAGGCCTTGGACTCTTTTAACTAATTATTAGTATGCTTAGCTGTTACCAAGGACACTTCCTTTTGGAGAAACAGTAAGAACCTAAAATCAATCTTTGACAGGAATTTGTTTGGGTGTACAGTGTAGCTTTCTAGCTTTGGGCTCATATGAAAGAGCACTTTGGACTGAGTGCAGAATGTTTGGAATGTGTACAGCTTCATTGTTGGCTACCTAGCTGGTAAAGATCCGTGAGTATCTGGAAAGCCCATCTTTTTGGATAAATTAAATAAAAAGATAAAGTTGGCTTAGGGACTGTTCGCTAACAGCTGAAGTTGCTTAACTGAAAGACTTATTGCTTTGTCTCTTAGTTGCCAAAATAATTAGATAGTAATTTTTTTTAAGGGTATAGTGATTTACTCAGCTTCAGCCATTAAGGAACTCATAACCTCCTTAAAATCTTATTCACTAAAAGACAAAGAAACAAGTTTTTAAGTTCAGCCACGTCAGCTATTATCAAACGACCTCTAATATTGGCCTCTCCTTCATTGGGAATTTGTGATGGAATCTTAATCAAGGACCAATGATGAGAGGGGTCACAAATATGGTGAGGTTAAGGTTTTTTTTTACATAGCTTAAGCTTATTCTCCCTCTTCTTTTTTTTTTTTTTTGCTCAATAACACTTTCATTAAATCATCAATAGAAGATTTACAAAAGGAAGACAAACACGCTTATCTTCCAAGAGCAACAAAGAACCTCAAGAAAAGGAAAAAAAAGAAAAAGAAAAGAAAGAAAGAAAGAAAGAAAGAAAGAAAGAAAACACACTACAGTTACAGCTTGGCCCAAAAAARTGAGTCCCTTTCTGCCCCTTGTTTAGCTAAACCGTCAGCTAGGGAATTAGCCGATCTTTTAACCCAACGTATCTTAACTTCCATCTCCCGCACCAGCCMCYTRAATTTCCTCCTCTCATTATTGTACTTCCATAAACCATTGTGATCTTTAAGCAGCCACCCTATCACCACCTCTGAATCCCCTTCAATTAAGTGTTTCCTGATGTCCAACTCCTTAGCTTTTTGGACTCCTTCCATAACTGCAAACATCTCAGCTCTAAGGGAGTCACCCACTCCAATTGGGTCTGAGAACATGGCAGAAATGACCCCATTTTCATCCCTAAAAACACCCCCAATCCCTGATTGTCCCGGATTTTCTCTACTACACCCATCAAAGTTTAGTTTCACGAAACCACTAGGTGGAGGGGTCCAAGCCACACATTACTGACTTAGTTTGTGTGCAACTTGCAATTTCACCCCACTTCCTCAACAAGTCATCCACAATGTAATCTGTGAAAAGCTCCAAAGATTTCAGCCACTGTACCGCCCTAGTTTGAATGATAGCCCTCAGATCTGCTGCTCCTCTCTGAGCTTCTGAAAATATCCTGGAGTTTCTTTTTTCCCCAAGTGTCCAACACACTACAGCCCTTAGTCCTCTCTACATTGTCCTTCCCCTTTTTATTCGCCACCTGAAAAAAGAAGGGGAAAAAAGGCCTTGCAAGTCTGATGGGGGGTTCCAACTGCAACCAAAAAGGGACAAAGCCCATTCCCAAATTAATCTCGCAAAATGGCAAGACACCAGTAGGTGAAAACCAGTCTCCCCATCCGCTTTACAAAGAACACACCACTGAGGTGACAAACAAGT